CTACGTATGTTGCCCGCTGTAAAGTCTGTCAAAGTGTCAAATATGACCAACAAAAACCAGCTGGTGTTATGGGAGAGTACCGTGGGGTTAACATTCCTTGGAAGATGATTTCTGCCGACCTCTTAGGACCTTTCCCTCGTTCGGTAAAAGGAAACAAGTATCTCTTAGTTGTTGTTGATACCTTCACGAAATTTGTCTTGTTGAAACCTTTACGAGCAGTGACAGCTCAGGCAGTGTCTTCTTTTCTTGATGAAAATGTATTTTTGGTTTATGGAGTCCCAAAATTTCTCATCTGCGACAATGGGTCTGAATTTATCGGTAAGCCTGTCAAGAAGCTTGCAGAACAATACGATGTGAAGATGCTTCTGAATGCGAGTCGTCATCCACAAGTCAACCCGACTGAACGAGTCAACAAGAATATAGTAACCATGCTGCGTGCCTATGTGGGGAACAACCACAGACATTGGGATAAGCATGTAGCTCAGTTGGGATTCGCACTGAGATCTTCAGTCCACGAGTCTACAGGCTATTCTCCAAACTTCCTTAATTTTGGAAGAGAACTTCCTATATCCGGAGCAGGATTTGGATTTCTTCGTGATGAGGAAACTGTTCCCGAAGTTGAAGACTGCCAACGGTACACTGAGAGGCTACGAGACTTGAAGAACATCCATCAAGAAGTTCATGAACTCCTCAAAGATGCTCACAAAAAGGAACGGTAAGCACTACAACTTACGGAGGCGCCCTCAAGAGTTTTAGGAAGACAGTCTGGTATGGAAGAAGAACTTCACTAAGTCAGATGCAGCAAATTACTACTCAGCCAAACTGACTCCAAGATACGTAGGTCTGTACAGAGTGGTCAAGAAAGTATCTCCTTTGATTTATGCCCTAGAAGATATGCAGGGCAAAGCAATTGGAAACTGGCATATCACCGATTTGAAGCTGTATGTCTAACAATGGTCCGGAGTGGACTTTGAGAAAATTTAGGAAATTTTCTTCTGGCAGGGGGGTATTTGTAACGTTAGTTTCTTGTTTTGAACCCAAATCCCAGTGAGACTGATCACCTCACTAATGACAATAAAATTGAAGTGACGCGCGCCTTCAATGTTTGGATGACCATAAACAGAACTGACAGAAAATTGCCAACTCTGCCCTGAAGGCACTAAATAAAGTCCACAAATGTATTGGGCTCAGCGTGGACAGAGCTATCGATCGGTCATTTGCCGAACAGCTGATTGAGATCATGTCTGTACTGGAGTGGAGGAGCACATGTGAACGCTCGTTAACGACGAAGAGGTTAGTTGAGGAGAAGCAGAGCCAACATCGTCAAGGACCCTCAGAGCACCGACGCCGGTGGATTTTCTTATATTACCATTTTGGGAATATTCTGAGGTAAGCAGGGAGAAAAATTAATTAGCTGTTTTGTTGGACAAAAGTCATTTCACTAAATCAAATCTTCAAATTAACTAGTTAGGATGTTAATTAAATCAATGTTGATTGGCCGTACTTTTTAACATGTTAGGGATCAAATTTTGTAGGATAAATTTTATAAATTCCGTAGTTTATTTATAAATGTTTGTGTTAGGAATTTTCCTCAGATAAAAGATAGTGTTATTAAGGCACGTCCTATTAATTTACTGTGTACACACAGGGTTTTTTATACCGACCCACTGCTACCGGAATTGTCACTACTACGAGAGGCTACTGTTTGGAAATCTCTGGACGCCGCGCCGCCTTGGTGTCAGCCGCTCACGTACCGACCTGCCGCTCACGTACCGACCTGCCGCTCACGGCCTACCGCTCGCTCAACTGTTGGACAATACGTTTGTCTCAGACACCCGGTCCGGCCGGATATCTTTTGTCTTTTGGACACTGTGTATGAAGTCTACATTTGGTGAGTGACTTTACGATTATTTGTCTCCTGTGCAACGGACACTTGGACAGTGGCTAGTGTATCGTCGTGGGACATCCAGGACCTACGGATTTATTTGTATATTTGTATATTGTAATATTTTGTGCTTTGTATGTTGTCTGTTATAGGTGTTCCGGTGGCCACCGTCATTATGTACCATTTTGTAGATTTAAGATGGATCCTTTTTGATTGATTATTGATTATGGGTTACTTATTAATTATTGCTGAATATGAATTTTGATTATTGAATTTTGATGAATATGGTAAATTGATTATTATTGATTATTGAGTGCTGATTATTGATTGTAGATTATTGATTTTGATTATCTTTGAATATTGATTAATGATTCTTGACTATTGATTACGGATCGTTGATTATTGATTTTTGAATATAGATTATTAAGGATTATTGATTACTGATTATTAATTAGTAAAATTTAATTCTGAAGTACTGCTATCCTATTCACTTTGAAACTGATAATAGATTTCAATTAGCCCACATTTGCTCATTTAACTGTGTGATTTCAACTTGATTTGTTATCAGGGCATCCTTATCTTGAGATAAATAGAGCTTATCATACATATTTGGATTTTTATTTGATATTCCAGTTAGTTTCTATTTGGGTCGAATTAGTATAGCAAATCTTAATAGCAACTCTAGTTTTTAAGTATTTTGAGTGATTTTGGTGACAATTAAATTTAGGTATTTATCGATTAGACAAATGGTTAGGGCAATTCAAGTCAATGTAGAGTATGGTCAATTGACATCACATGTGTTAGGTTTACCCTGCTTACCACAACTATAGGCAACACTATTGGGAGATTGGTTCCTTGTGACAATCGACAGACAACTTGCCCATATCACAAGGTGGCGCCCTTTTTAATAAATACTATCCATCGTAGTGTTAACACCTCACTGGCCTAAGACACATCGCACCCCGCCCATTGAGCTAGTCTGGAGCAAACTTGTTGGCAGTTGGTAAAATAAGTCAAACTGTTACAACGTACTGTACATGTACTCTCAGGCAAGATAGGAAAAATATACCTGAGGATGTAAAATCAGCCAAGCTAAATAAAGGAGAGACAATTGTGAGATACGGGAATGGTGTGATGGTGGGGAAATGGCGTGACAAAAGAACCGTTACTTACATATCTACCGAGCACGAGAACAAAATGATTACTTTCACCAATAGCCGAAAGCAATCGAGAATCAAACCACTTCCTATCGTGAAGTATAATGCTTTTATGAGTGGGGTCGACCAAAGGTAAATAGTGTAAATAATTTATTTAGGTAATTATAAACATTTAACTTATTTCTAACAAACAAAGTGACTTGTGTAAAAAATGTGGCGAAACCCGGCAGCGAAGCGGGCGGTGGACCAGCGGCGTTTCTTCGCGCAGTGCTACTGCGTCACCGGTGGACCATGGATTCTGGAGGCCCAGGACCATAGATACGTCACTGGAATTTCCATTTTGATGCCAGATATCGTCATTTCTATCACCAAAGGTAAGATTTTAAGTGAAAACTAATTTCAGTATTTGTATGTGGATTATGATTTTTTTAGCCGCAGCGAATGTGTTAATAAAAAGCATACTTACTGTACTTACTACATGTAACAGTGCAATGCTCATGATGCAGGTACTATATATACCCCTTACAAATATCCACTGGTGAGAGGAGGTGTAAAATTTCAAACAACCCACCAACACAGCAAGTATACATTTCTTAAGATTCATTTATTAAAAATTCATTTATAAAAATAAGAAAAATAAGTAATATCATTGGTGTAGACGGGTTAAATTTCCCATAATATATGTATAATAATCTGTTTATAGGACTAACGGATACGAAAATATTAAATTTTTTAACAATAACAAATTAAACTTTTCGACTGGAACCTATCAGAATGAGTAGAGAAGCTGCTCCCCCAAACCTTCTTAACACCATATCATGCAAATGCACAACAGGTTGTATAGGGACGAGTGGCTGTAGAAAGGCGGACCTAAGTTGTTCCGCCCTTTGCAAAGTGTGTGGTAGCCAAGAATGCAACAACAGGAAGGAGGTCACCGTCGACGACACCGATCTACTAACTTAACGAGGACAATGAAGACTCCGTCTTCATTCTCTCACCCCCTACAAACGAGTGAAGCTCCAGTAGTGTTCTAATATGCTAGTTATTTTATTTTATTTCATTTTATTAGTTATTAGTTTACTTATTTTTTTAAATGTTTGTGAAGATTATTACAGTTTTTAATCTTATTTTGTTTAAATAAATGAACCTTTAAAAATGTACTTGCTGTGATGGTGGCTATAAGAATGGTTCTTATAGTGATTAGGCTATAACAATGGGCTATAATTATAGAAATCATACTTCATACTAATATTATAAATGTGAAAATTTGTGTGTTTGTTTGTTTGCAGTTCAATCACAAATGCGATATCTATCTACTGGTCGGATTGGGCTGAAATTTGGCATTTATGATAGTTCATATTTCCGATTGAAAAAACATAAACATATCCTTATCTCAAAAATCCTTTCGGGCTCCGCCCCAGTGGCTCTGGGATTTCCCATGTTAACCTTATGAGTATTCATTCATATTTAAAAGGAACTATCCGTTACCCACGGGCTTCACCCCGTTTGACTTCATAAGCATTAATAAAACTATTGATTGGGGAGAAGCTGAAGAGACACAGCATTTTCAGTTTCAAGACTTTATGTTGTAAGATTTTTTAGTCGGAGATTAAACAAAAAGGTTTTCATTTAATTTTTGATTTTAATTTAATTCCTATAGAACTTTTAATCATAAAATGATTTTTTTTAAACTGTGCATGACTCAATTAATAATTATATCTTATTTTTTTGATTGTTGGCGAAGCCACTACGGATAATTATTTTAATGATTGCAATACTCTGTTTATTTCTTATGCTGTATAATATTTATGGTCATACCATCGCAGGCAAAGCCACGGGTACAAGCTATTATTTTAGTAAAAATCCAATCAGACAAATTGAAATTTGCTCAGTCTGCAGGTTTACTGCGCCGAGGGTATTTTATATTACAGTATACAGGGCAATAATTGTAGAACATCTTAATAAAACATTTTTTATTCCAACTATGATAGTATATACATTTTACATAGATACACTTTTTAGCAATCACATTATTAGCCCATATAACCTATTTTAACAAACCCTCATTAGAGGGTTGTTAAAACTCTCTAGGGGGGTGGCAGAAAAATATTTCAGATCTGGCAGGGATCATGCCACTTGGGGTGGTGATAGTATAGGACTAAGAATGTAAAACCGCCAGACCCCAATGTTTTACAACCTCGGTTGCCCTTAATTGAAAAAAAATTTCAAAATTAGATCAATACAAATTCTATTAGGAGCAAGGGACATCCGAGGCACGTTTTTAGTGTTTTCACAGGGGTGATGAAGACTGTTAAGAGAAAGAGATATGTTTTTTGTCTCTATATCCATTTGTTCACTGTGACATTAAAATGTAATAAATTAACTTGATATTTTTAAATAAAAAATTAAAAAATGATTAAATACCAGACAGATGTTTTTACCACAGTGGCATACTGATTACAAATTCTTTCTTACGTAAACATCAAATTCAATTGATCAAAACGAAAAAGTTTCTAAGGATAACAATAGTTTAAATAGTATTTGAAAACAGTGAAGTGCCACAACAATTGATGGTGAAGGTAAAAAATAATCAACTTATTCTAATAATAAAACTTCTTTATCATTTTATGACTGAGTAAATATGTGAAGGTGCTCTATTCATTTACTTGAATAAAAAAATATAAATTGGAGGTAAGTATAAGTTATGGGTTTTTCAAGCAAGTATGAATTATCTTCATTCATTCTTTTGTACCGCACGTCCCGTTAATTGTATAGGGTTGGGTCACTTGAACACAGTTTAGGTTTGAACTGAGTACTCGAGTTTTAATTCAATAGGTACTGGAGACCATTTTGATGATAGCTAAATTGGCTGATTAGATATTTTCTATAGACATAAAATACAATCATAATATGTACATTATTTTAGAGCAACATAGCTATTTATTATAAAGGAAACACTAAGAAGACAAAAATATTACATTGCGCATATTTAATTTTTTGATACAAGAAAATACTTCTTTTAATGCCATTTTTCAATGATGATTGTTTTAAATCAAAATAATACAAAATATGTGGAGATATTTCGTTGTTTAATTATAATATTTGCTATGGTAGTGAATCGTGATGTTGAAAACGGCCTTTATATTCTTTCAAATAATTACTCTTACCAGAGATTCATACAGTTTTAGGTTGGATATCTCAGAGTATACATTGCATCAATCCACACAACCTTTCCATAAATAACTATACAGCTATAGTCTATACAGGAAGCCTAACACAATACATCTTATCATATTTAACGGAAGTGTAACAAATTATGTATAAATGTATACATTAAAATAATTAATATTAGTTGAGGAATGTGTTAAAAAAGAGGTTAACCCTCCAAGTGTCCATAGTTTAGGCCTTAATGTCCACCTATTTTTGGCGCATTTGAAGGTCTTATTAAAACGGATCTGAGAAGCTTAAAACAATGTTAATTCTAATGTTCTATATACCTATTTTGTTTGGAAAATCATGGGCTTCAATATCATACATAAAACATAAGGAATATTTGTTTCAAAAAAATTTTTTAGGTAAAAAAAAATTATTTTGGAAAAATTGAAAAAAAAATAAGTTCGCGCTCAATGAAATTGTATAAATTATAGGCCTATAAATATTTGAAAATAGCCACTTTGTTCTAAATTTAATGAGGATTACAAATATATAATCATATAGTGAGGTAAGTTATCAAATAAATAAGTTATGAGTGAAAAACGGATTTCAGTACATAGCGTTTAGCTAAGAATGCATAGCCTAACCATAGCTAGGAATATGGCTGATAATTTACATCAATATCACTACCTACTTCTTCAGGATCATCAACCAGCCCTTCAAAATCACTTTAATCTTTTTATAATGCACCACGTATATCACTACTTTTGATTTTTAACACTAAAACAATGATAAACGTAATAAAACACATCAGTCATCGGTCCGAGGATAACCAAGCTGTTTACAAATATGCACGTCAGCTGTCTGCTACAATTACGATCGGCTCGGAGAACATACAGCGCTGAGACAGACCTCTGGAGAAAGCTTAGAATATAACGGAAAGAACGATACCTAACTCGATCCAGTTCAATCTGATTCAGTCAGTCATAGAGCCTTCGCCATAAACGATGTTCGTGCGTCGAAAAATCGACGCGTGACACTACACAAAGTGTGTAGCGCGTCGATTTTTCGACGATGGACGCTCGGAGGGTTAATGCATCCTATAAATGTGGTTTTATTGGTCACTTCACTTAGGCTGAGATGTTACTATTATATACAATATTTAAATATATTTCAATACTTCTAATATTTTTATTAGAAGTATTCATAAAATCACATCGAGAAGTAAAGAGATACATTGCTATGCTACTTTACAGGACACAGTGATAAGGATATTTTATTTTATTTACTTCCTCAATCCTATAAACAAGTATGAATGGTTTTAAAACTAATATACCTTGCATTCATCTGTTAGGACAAGTTCTTATGTATTTATTTACTAATGTGTTTGTTACAACTGAGCAGGTTGGTCACACTGATCTGTTGACTGGTTGAGAAAGGTTATGTTGGCAGTCTTGATGCGAGGGGTGACACCAACCAGTGATAGACAAGGTGAGATGCAGGGTGTAGAGCAGTGACTGTTGCTCAGATCACACTGATCCAACAGCTTCAGCAACTCCTCCGCGGTTGGACCACCTGAGTTTTGCATGGCTAATTGAAAAAGTTCAAAGTTAGTTTCGTTCAAGAAAGTGCTCTTAGCCAGGATTTTCAAGATAGCAAGGACTTGTAGAAGTATAGAATCAAAGGAATAGCAGCTAGCTTACATTGGAAGAAGTACAGGTAGACCATAGAACACAAAGAAGGCATAAAAAAAACACAATATACAGGGTGGCTGAAAAGTAACTTGCACCCCCCTTAACTTTTCAACCATTAGAGATATTTGAAATCTGTTTGTGGCAACCTTCTTAGCTATGAGGGGCTACAATTAGTATGGTCAATTTTGAAAATTTTGCCCTTAAGCTCAAAATTTTCAAACGACAAGTATAGTCGAGTTTGGTATCATTTTATAGATCTTGACGAAACATACAAATTGAGATAAAGAAAACCAAAATCGGCCCACTAATAACAAAATGGCGCCCCAAAACGTTTCAAATCCAAATAACCATGAGGGTGGCTGAAAATAAACTTGCACCCCCTTTAACTTTTTACTATTTGAGATATTTAAAATCGGTTTGCGGCAACTTGTTTGGATATGAAGGGCTACAACAATAATGGTCAGTTTTGAAAAAATTTTGCCCTTAGGGGAAGCGGTGGTAGGGGGTAGCTCAAAATTTTCAAATAACAAGTATAGTCGAGTTTGGTATCATTTTACAGGTCTTAACATAACATAACAATTAACAAAAATAAAATAGAAATTGGACCATTGATAACAAAATAACAGCTAAAAATGATTAAGACAATGGTTATTAAAAGTAATTTTGAACTGCCATTTAGTTATTATGCTCCGATTTCTATTTTCTTTATGTTAATTGTTATGTTATGTCAAGACTTGAAAAATGATACCAAACTCGACTATACTTGTTATTTGAAAATTTTGAGCTACCCCCTACCCCCGCTTCCCCTAAGGGCAAAATTGTCAAAACTGACCATTATTATTATTAGGACTCCAGACTTATCGTAGATGGATGAATTAATTTCTGTTTTCTCTTTCAATAGAGATACAAGTTTATTGTTAGTCTTGAACGATATGGTGAATTTATTTTTGTCCATGATATTTTTAAATGTGCTACTGATATGTGAACCAAAAATTGCTGAAATATACGTTTTCTTTTCTGTGGATTTAATTTGAGGGTTATTTAAATGTTTAAAAATCAGTTTGTCCACTACACTGGAGTGAAAGCCATTTGCGACTGCTATGTATTTTATCGTGTTTATTTCTTCATTATAATCAGTCTGATTCATCGGTATTGATAACAATCTATGGATAAAACTATTGTATGCGGCGATTTTATGAGAGTGTGGGTGGTGTGAGTCGGCATTTATGGTCTGGTCGGTGTAAGTAGGCTTTCTATGAATTTTAAATTCAAAATGATCATTTTGTTTCTTAATTGTAAGGTCCAGAAAATTTAACGCTTGGTTTTTTTTCCTCCTCTAATGTGAACTCAATATTCTTGTGCATTTTGCACAAATAACTGTTTAATAGAGAAAGTTGTCTGCTATTCCCGTTGCAGAACATAATGGTGTCATCAACATATCTGTAAAAGAATAAAATTTTATCTTTGTAACGGTTAGCATCTGTAAAGAGATTGTTGTTCTCTATATGGTTCAAGAATATTTCAGCTAAGAAACTGGAGAGTGGGGATCCCATTGCCAAGCCTTCGTTTTGTATGTAAAAATTATTTTCAAATCTTAAATAATTTTGTTTTAACACAATTTTTGTCAATTTTATAACTTCTTCTATTGCTTCTGGGGAAAGTTTGGAGTTTTTTTTTGCAAATTCTTATGTAGGATGGATATAGTTTCCTGCACAGGTACATTAGTATACACATTTACAATATCGAATGATACTAATTTAGGGTTGCCTTTTATAACTTTGGTTTTCAATTTTTCGACAAGCTCTAAGCTAGTTTTAATGCTATGATTGTTTTCCAGCACAGTTTCATTTCTGATTATTCGGTCTAACTTTTTGGCAATTTTGCATGCTGGAGATGGCATAAAATTGACTAAGGGTCTGATTGGCACATCAGGTTTATGTATTTTTGGTAGACCCCTCAGAATAGGTGCTTGTGGATTTGTCACTTTTAAACTGTATTTACAACACAGCTATTAGGATAATGGAGGGAAACAATGAATGAATGAACACGCACCGGTGATAAGAAGACAGAGACAACGTCATAGACCACTTTGACCACCAGTCTAGACTTTACCTCAGCCCGGGCACGATCGATTGTCAATGTCCCTTCGTGTTTTTTGTGTTTTGTAATGTGTGTCCGTTTCGTGTATCGTGTTTTGTATATGATTTATTTATTGAAGTCTGTTAACGACCTTCGAATGAAGTGATCACTTGACACCTTGAGGCCTGAAGATGGTTCAAAACAAGAACCGAAACTAGTTGCCTAAATCAGCAACAAAGGATTACTATATGCAGGTATTGTAAACCATTTTAAGTATAATACAGTAATCCGGAGGCTAAACAACTATTCTAAAATTATTTAATTCCTACATATCCAATGTCGAGGCGACTGTTGTAGGTCTCCCCCTTTACCTTGCTAACTAGCCTGACATTATTACTAAATTTCTAATGTATATAATTAGCCTAGGGACTTAGCCATCATGTATGTAGGGTTGCAGAAGATCCAATTTTCGGTGGTTTTTCTGAAGATGACAGCGGAGAAGTGGGAAGAGAATTGGAAAAGTAGGTGGGGGAAGGCGTTCACTTGCTCGCGGTGGGCTGACGAGTTCATCATGCAGCCCTGCCACGCGAAGGGCTGACACTATAAGAAATATAGCGTGCCGCTATGCGTCACAGCTTTTGTAAGGTTGTTACTGATTTTCTGTCTGTGATGTGTTTAATTGTAAATTATTTTGTAGTGATTTATCCTGACTGTGAAGAATGTCTTACAAATCGTCTTACAAAACGATTTTCAAGAGGATCCTGATCCAAGAAATGATCATTTAGAAACAGGTTAAGGCCAATGCATTGTTTTAAAGCTTTAGACACCATTACGTCTACTACATTATTAGTTTTTACAATGTGCCAGTGACAATAAAATGGTTTAGGAAATAGTAAAATAGGTAGTAGAAATACAAAAAAGTTAGGTGCGTGTATCGTACTTAGGGGACTCATCACTGTGGCCGCCATGTTGGATAGGTGCGAAGCGTTGGAAACAGGCTTCACTCTACCGTTTGGCATGCCTGGTCTATTTTAATTCTGTGGTCGCTGAGTGTACAGTTATAACCCCCCCAGAGGGGAGGTAACTGCCCGGTGTTGGATCCGGCACTTCAGGTAAGGCCACAGCAATGGACGACTAGGATCGCCAGCCCTTAGGGGAGCCCCCAGTGACATTCCTCCATCCAGGATGGTGGGGTGTTTAGCTCTCGGAGTGTAATTCTCTCACCTACCTGTGGCTGTGGTTCTATGGGCTTGCCCTGCCTGTTGTGTACGACTGACATTTTGTGAGGCATATCCTCGGCTCTGGAAGTAGCCTCTTCCTGGGAGGTGAAAGACGGGCAATTGCCAAGCCCCCAAAGGGGAGGTAACTGTTCGGTGTTGGAATCGGCATTTCAAATAGGCCATAGTCATGGACGTCTGGGGAGCGCCAGCCCCTTAGGGGGAGCCTCCAGTGACATTCCTCCATCCAGGTTGGTGGGGTGTTTAGCTCTCGGAGAGGTGGAAGTGCGCCATCATCTACCTGTAATTATGGTTCTATGGGCTTCGGCCTGCTTGCTTTGTGCGACCAACATTCTGTGTGGCAAATCCTCAACTTTGGAAGTAGCCTTTCCTGGAGGTGAAATCGGGCGAGTACCCGTAAGCTCACGGGGACACTCTAGGGGAACGGAACTTTCCGCAGTGTGAGGGCAACGGCTGGGCGCACTCCATCAGCCAATCCCTGTCTCTGAGCCTGGAAGGTATGGTTATCTAGAGTGTGGGGGGTTCTCCATGGAACCTCAATTGAGTTAAGGGTGTCGCCACCTTTGGTGGATAGGTTCATTGGGGGTGGGTCCCGCTTCTATACCTGCCTCCTTTTGGGAAACCCTGATGGCCGGGCAGTGATGTTGGGTTAGATGGGCAAACGAAGTAGATCGGGTGCTGGGATCAAGCCCGCTGGGGGTATTTGGGGTTCTATCCCCCCAAGTTATCCCTGGTTTCCCAGCGAATGGGATGGCCTTGATCTGGTAGTGGTGTAAATAGGGGGTTGGGGTAGGTAGCTTGCTGACGGTCCCCTTCCTTCTGGCTTTGATGGCGGGTTATGGCCTGTCAGGGATTAGATAGGTCCCGAGTGTCGCTTGCACTATGTTGCGTCCATTGACTCCATCATGGTCTGTCGGGGTTTTCGGCCCTGGGGGAACCCAGTTGGAGGGACGTAAGACCAAGTAACCGGTATCCCTGGTTAGGATTGAGGGGCAACCCTCTTTCCGAAGGAGTGCTTCGGCAGCCGGTGAGCCTGATGACCATAAGTCATCCACCCATGGTGTGACTAAGGTTGGTGCGTATGCTCCGGCCCACACCATGGGGCCCGGGTATATTTAATTAGAGGTACCGGGTTGCAGTTGAGGGGCCTTGGACCCTTTCAACAAAAACAAAATGGGAAAAAATGAGTGTACAGTGTAAAGTTGGACCTGTTTCTTGTGCCGGATTGGACTCAGTCCTATTCAGGTAAACCTACTATGTTAACAAAGCCTGCTATTTTCATATGATAAGTCAATGTTTTTGAAACTGCATGGTATTTTTCTCGGAAGGAAGGGCAGGATGTAAAAAAACCATAAATCATTGTCTCCAACAGGCCCCCAGGCATTCTCAAGGTCAAAGACCCTCCCCTCTTACACCTCCTGTTTGCAATACAATGCCTATTGCAAACAAAATTGTGTAACAAAACAAGGAAGTAGCGGTTAAAAAGTTATATTTCTTTATTCAAAAACGTAAAACTGTTACACATTATTTTCAAAGAAACTAATTCATTTTAATGTTGTTAAAATGTTTATTGCGGACATTTTCCATCACGCAATTAACCACAATAATTGTTGGGTATGGTTTTTCGCATGTCCGCAATAAACCTTTGAACAACATTAACTCACCATCACCAACAATGAACTTCAAACAATGAATTAATTCATGTTAGTTTGTGTCTTGTACATATTTTATTAGAAAAAAGTAATTTTACTTTTGTAAAATACAAAAATATTGACTAGAGTTAGAGATTAAATTTAACAGCCATTATAAAAACTATTATTTTATGATAAAATAGAATTGGCATATCAAAATAGCTATTACGCTAGTAATAAATGAAAGTCGAAAAGGATTAAACTGATAAAACTCAGAGTTCTTGGAAGTACATGAGTACAATAACTGTCCTGATAAAATATTAATGGATTTGGGACTGCTAATGGTTTTTTTTATTGCATCACTACCCTAGTAATAAGTTATGAAGATCTTAAACAAACATCTGATAAGCCTTTTATGTGCTCGGAACCAAAGGTTGTACCGAACCGAGTTTGTACCACGTAAAATGCTGTACCGAACCGATGACAGTAATTAAGCTAGAACGTACCGTACTGACTTTTTCGGTGCACTGCAGACCCCTAGTTGACAGTCTTATCTTTCCATGCCAGTAGGTTGCAGTATCGTATTGGAGCATTATAAACTTTAATAGGCGGCTGAGCAGAGTAATTTTAACAATGATGAATGACATAACAATGCTTAAGTTGCCATTGTGATTTATAATACGAAGCATGAAATGTTGGGATGAAATGAAATAACACAATAACATGATTTAATTGGTTGAAGTTAGAGATTATTTCTTGGTTGATTTATGTTCAAATATAATTATTACTATCGAGCCGGGATAGAATACTAAAGCATTCGTTCAACTATTTGAACTTTCCAATATTTGCACACCCCTAGTTTTCGGTGAGAGTGGGAAGTTTATTTTTTTGTCCTAGGACGCTAGGCACAAGCCTGGGATTGTTTTTCACATTACTTCAGGCTAGACCTAGGGGTTGCGGCATTATCACTTAGATAAAATCGATTGGTGACTTGGCGGGGAGCGAATCCGGGACCTCAGGGACTGAAGTCCCATGCTCTAACCACTACGCCAGCTTGCTCCCAATAGCCTCATGAGTGTGAGAATAGTAATAAATTACTTAATTTTCCAAAATAAAGTTAGTTGCTAATGAAACAAAGGGAATGCTTACCAGGTTCTCCCTTCTTGGCAAGGTCAAGTGCAGTAGTCAAGTCCCACATCTGTAGAGCTCCATTGCTGTGTCCTGTGAAAATGAAGCGCCGCGGCCGAGAGCCCATGCGACTAGAGCCCTCACATTCGTGCACACAGAACGATGTTATCATTGTCCCATCCACCGACTTGATCACACACACTCTGAAATCATTAATGGTCTTATGATAAGCACCAAATTGACACAATTCTAACCCAACTGGAAACTTGAAGGGAATTTGATACAGCACAGGACACAAAGAATATTACCCTTTACCCTTTATATTACCCAAAATAAAGCTAAGCACAGTAAACTCTCGATTATCCGAGCCCTGGTCATCAGAGTCCCTACCATTCAAGCCCTCAGGTTATTCGAGGTCGTTTTAGGCCTAAATATATATTTTTTTTATTTCCGGTCCAAAAACAACAATAATTACATTTTTAGGAATGTTTTTGATATCCAAGCCCTGGTGTTCCGAGTCCCTGCCATCCGAGCCCTCATGATATCCGAGGTTGTTTTAGGCCTAAATATATATTTTTTTATTTACTGTCGGAAAACAACAATAATTAAATGTTTAAGAATGTGTTTGTTTACAAAGGAAAATAGCAAGTAATTTGTTATTTCTTAAAATAATACTTTAAATTATAATTATAGGTATTATATTATTATTGACCACGGAGTCATACCGACCATCACGCCGAGACCACGAGTCTTGCCGAAAATCGTGCCGTGACCGCGGAGTCATACCGACGATCGTGCCATGAACGTGGAGTCATACCGACAATCACGCCGTGACCACGGAGTCATACCGACGATCACACTGTGACTGCGGAGACATGCCGACGATTTCGCCGAGACCACTGAGTCATACCGACGATCGTACCGTGACCGCGGAGTCATACCGACAATCTTGCCATGTCCGCAGAGTCATATCAACGATCACGCTGTGACCGCAGAGTTATACCGATGATCCTGCCTTTTTGTTTTTATCGATCAGTGCCACAAATGGTAAAATTTGATTTTGTTTGTCTTATGCACAGGAAAAAATCCCGTCCCGTCCTGTCTCAAAAGTTGGGAAGGAAATAAAAATCCTGTCCCAAACTAAGAATTCAATCCCGTCCATCCCTAATATACATACATACCTATTATTGTATACATATATACAAATTTGAACAAACAGTGTTTTTGGCCTCTGGGTACATGAACATGAAAAAGTTAATCGGTCCCGGGCCTAGGTCTACCTAAGCTACTTCCTTATAAAGAATTTCTCTAAAATCAACTGTTTGATCCTAAGAAAGTTACTAGGTTGTTCATGTTTCAAAGCTGGACCCGATCAATTTGGATTTTGCAACAAATTCCGTCCAAAGAAAATCACAAATGTATTCTTGTACCAAAGATCGAGAACTTATATTCTCCCCGAAAATTCTCTCAATTTTTAGGACTCATCCACCTGTACCTTAGGCCTACACTTCAAATGATAATCCAATATTCCTTTTTAAGCAAATATAAATACTTTATGATTTCTGTATCCTTATCAAAATCTGTGTCTGGCTGTTACCTTCTGCCATTTGACGCCAAGCGAACAAATATTTCAGGTGTTTCTGGGACGACTTTCTGGACAAATACTTGCTCATCATCTTGTTCTCCAAATGGACCTTCATAATACAAACAGCATTAATACAATTGAAATTCTTTTTTACCTTTGTTAATTGGACATTGGACGAAACTAAAAGAAATCCTCATACTCAGGTTAAAAATTTGTTTGTTCTATTACAAGGTTAAAAAATCTGATTTTTGTTCCACAGATTTATTTTTTTGTGTAGTTCTTAATAAACTACATCTTATTCTCTACTGTGATCTCATTACCGATGATCATCTTCCCCGATAATAGCAACTTTTTGGATTAGCGAAATTCTGGTATAATACATTGGTTTAAAGAAGGAGTTTTTTACAAAGTACTTTACTTAACAGTGCCCTATAAAATTTAGATAAGGTAAATGAAAAAAACATACCACAGTCGTTGCCTGCAGCATAGCTGACATATGGTTCCACCTCTTCAAGAGATAATATTTTGAAGGAAGCAACTGGAGTTGATCCTGGTTGAGTTGAGATCATTCCTCGAAACCTAGTGACACTCCACGTGCGCACATGGTTATACTCACAACATAATGACACTAAAAACTTCTCTGACAGGGTAACCTGAAACACAAAACACGTTAACTTAAAGTATATTCTGGTAGAGTTGAGATCATTCTTTAGAACCTCGTGACACCTTGTGCATTCGCACGGTTATACTCACAACGTACTGACACTAGGAACTTCTCTGACAGGGTGAGCTGTGGCACACAAGTTCAATAATTTTCAACTGCCAATCCACAGATTGACACTTTTTGAATCCTTACACCAATAAATAAATAAATAAATAAATAAATAAAAATGCCTTTATTTGCGAGCGTCTTTCAGTACAAGAACTGTTTTACAAAGTAACTCATATCAATATAACTAACTTAAAAATATACAAAAATTATGATACAAAAACAATGTGTATGACAAAACAAAACAAAACAAAATTATAAGCTATATACAATACTTTACATCTTCTTTACTTTTCTTTTGAAAGCCAGGACCCCCAGCTGTTTTAGGTCCAAGGGGAGATCATTATATATCTTTGGGCCAAAGTAATAAAACCCTTTTCTACCCACTTCTAGTTTTACTTTTGGAATGTGGAGCAAGGCGTTCTGCCGGGTCACACGTTGAGTCACCTCCCCACGTGCCACAAGCCTCTCCACCAAGTACTTAGGCTCTTGCTGAACCAAGACCCGGTGGATGAGGCTACAAGTCTGCGCCCTGCACACGGCAACCATTGACAGTAACCCCGCAGCATCCCGAAAAGGGGATACGCGTTCACGCTTACGGATACCGTAAACGAAACGAATGGCGGAGTTCTGCACTTTTAGCAATCGGGACATCTCTTCCCTTGAGATGCTGTTGCCGTATGCAGGAAAACAGTAATGGAGCACTGACAACACTAGTGACTGTACCAGCTGCAGCTTGGCTGTCTCTGGCAGGATGTTTTTGTACCGGTACAGACCACGCAGCCTTCCCAAAGCCACCTGGGAAACATAAGTGATGTGGTCCGAGAAAGTGAGGCCACTGTCAAGTACCACACCCAAGGTCTTGACGGTATCCCTCACCATTAGAGGTTTTCCTGCGATTTGAACGTGCATGTCTCCATTTGCAACTCTGTGAAGAGTAGTGGGTGTAGCAATATGAAGAATCATGCATTTTTCAGAGTTCAATTTCAAACCATGTTTGCGTGACCACTCACTTATTCTCACCAGATCAGAGTTCATTCCTGCAAAAGCTTGATCAGCAGCCTGAATCTCATAGGAGAAATGCAATTGGCAGTCATCGGCATATGAATGCACATTGCAGTGACTCACACATCTGGACAGATCTGCAGTGTACAGGGTAAACAAAATGGGCCCCAGACAGCTCCCCTGAGGCACTCCCCTTGATTTCTCTAGGGGAGGTGAGATATCGGTACCCACCATGGTAACTTTCAGTCTGTTTTCCAGGTAAGATCTAAACCAAGCAACCGCATTGCAATGAAAACCAAAATGTTTCAATTTTGCTAGGAGCAAACCATGGCTTATGGAATCAAAGGCCTGTGAAAAATCAAGCATGACTACAGAGCTACACCTGCCCTCGCTCCTCGCCCCAAACAAGTCTGCAAACATATTCATCAATGCAGTACAGGTGCTATGGTTCTTTCTGAACCCTGATTGCAGTTTGGGAAGCAGATTCTCTGCATCTAAAAATTCTGTTATTTGGCGTATTACTAATTTTTCCAGCACTTTAGACATAGCAGGCAAGACCAATATTGGCCTTAAATCATTAAAGTTTGAAGGAATCTGTTTTTTGGGCAATGGATGTACCATACTTTTCTTCCACGCGTGTGGAAATTCACTGTTTACAAGAGACATATTCATAAGGTGAGTTATTGCATCAATGGCATAAGGGCTGACGGCTTTTATCATTGCAATACTTATGTCATCAACACCGACAGCTCTAGAGGTAATTTCATTAATAGCTTCCCTCACTTCTGATACTGATATTTTTCTAAACTGGAATTTATTTACATTACGTGTATCTTCATTATATAATCTAATCAAATCTGCATCTGCTTCAAAACATGATCCCATTTTTACAAAAAAATCATTCATTTCACTGACCCTAAAATCATTTGGTAAATTATTTCTGCCCTTTCCTGCTACTATATCACTCTGTTTAAGGCATTTCCAAAAAGCTCTCGTATCTTTACAATCTGCCAGGTTTTCTGAGAAAAAATTTCTTTTTGCTTTCCAAACAGCCCCATTCAGTTTGTTTCTAACTTTTTTATAATCTATCCAGTCGACATTCTGTCCTGAACTTGAAAATTTCCTCCTTAATTTATTTTTCATTTTTGTTAACACAATGATATCATTATTTCTCCAAGGTGCTTTTTTCTTTGTCACTCTCTTTGTTACTAGCGGCGCATGTTTATCATAAATATTTTTTATAGCAGAGCAAATGAAAGAATTTATTTGACTAGCGTTGGTCATGTCCATTACTAATTCCCATTCGATATTCTGTAACATTGAAATCCGACATAACATGTTAATATCTGTAACATTATCCGAGGTAATTGGAACCAAATGCATCTCTTGGATATGTAAAAACTCGGTTAACACGGAAAGTGTTGAGAATATTATTTAAGGTTAGGTTAGAAATAGATTAGTAATGATAAAACATCATAAAAGAAACACTTAAATTATTTTATTGATGAAATTGCACTTCTTCTCTTTTGTTACACAATAATGTAAATACAACCAAGTTTACAATTAGTCAGAAAAACAAAACTTATTTTTGTGAAAAGAAAATTAAAATGGTTTTCTGGCGGAGTTTAGCTCCTCTTTTCTTGGTTGCAATGTTTCACCATGGCTGAAGGCAGAGTACTTCTGACGTCGTGGCCTCGGGCTGCTGTGCCATGTAAGCCAGTGCCTTCTCGAGTGATTTCAGTCCTTCCGTTTGTGATATGCGTTTGGTTTCGGCTGATTCGTCGTCACTAGAATCATTTTCATCTTTCTCACACTCATCACGATTTACAATGTTTACGATGTCGTTCTCGGTCAATTCATCTGTTTTATCTTGTCTCCGTTTACTCAGTCCATCACATTTTCTTGAGTAACTGGCTCACTCGTAGGCAAAACATTTGTTAGTGTAATAAGCTCACTGATATCGGTTTTGGCAGTTTTTGATCCATGGTTAGAGAGAAGTTTTTCTGTTAATTTTCGGATCCCAAAAAAGCTTCCTCGATGATTCCCTGACTGTGCTATCTGCCAAATTGTCCCATGCTTCGGCGACCCAGTAAGAAACATTCTTCATGGTTATTGCTTTCTGAGTTGTGGGGACAGTGTTTCCATGTGTGTCCAACTGTCCAATCAAGTAGGTCAACAGTATTTTTCGATAGTTCCTCTTGAACGTTTCAAGAGTACCTTGATAGAGCGGCTGAATTGCGAAGTAACATTAGGTGGCAAGAATATTGCCTTCATGTCTCCACTTACCAGATTGTCAGAGTCAGGGTGTGAGGGGGCGTTGTCTAGAAGCAATACGACCTTGCTTGAGAGATTCTTTTACTTTAAAAATGGTTCTACAATAGGTAGAAAATGGTTGAAAAACCACTGCTTAAAAATTTGATCATCCATCCAAGCATTTTTTTTTTTACTTTTGTACGTTTACAACTTTTGGTAAGCATTTAATGTTCAGGTTTTTGAACGCTAAAGGGTTCTTTGCTTTGCCGATAAACACCGGTTTCAATTTCTAACTTCCGGATGCATTGTAACATCCCAGAACAGTAACCCTATTCTAATTTTTTTATATCCAGGTGCTGTCTGCTCATCCCTAGATGCTTATGTTTTAGATGGTAAAATTCGGTAATTTAGGCCTCTTTCGTCATAATTAAATATCTGATCTGAGGTAAGACCATGTTTCAAAATCAGGGTTTCCAATTTTTTTTTTTTTACTCTGAAACGTCATTAGAATTTGCCGACAACTTTTCTCCGCTAATATCTAACTGTCTTATCCCAAACCTTTTCTTTTCATCGGTATAGCCACCCTGTGCTAGCAGTAAAAGGTTTATTGTCATCTTTGAACTGTTTTAACGCAATTGCTTTGGCTTGGATGATTCAGGGTGTCTACTATATTCTGGATGAAAAATTCATGAACGATTCCCGTACATTTAAGGACACTTTGTCGTAACCTTTGTCGGTGTGATTACCAAATATATTTTCATTATTTTCCTGATTTGTAAAACTGTATTAGCTTAAACTTGTTCTTCACTGTCGTTGTAACAGAGAGAAAAGTAAATAATAATATATAAGAGTTAAATTTCAAAATAGAAATTTATTGAAAGTAAAAGACCATTTACTTTAGGTAAAGCTTTATAGTGTAACAGAGATACTCAATCATTGTCTTACGCGATAGCGACAAGATCCTGAATATCTATATCGGTCACGGAAGCATTATCATATCATATCCAATCTAGGCGGATTAATTTGGCATGATTCGCCCTAGCAAAACGCTAAGTTCTCGACTAATTTTGAAAAAAAAAAAATCTTTAATGCATTATATTGTAACTTGGTTCTTGGTACAAAATCGGTATGGTAAGCGGCTACCAGTAAGCAAACAGTAAGATTATTGTCTTTTCATTTGCAAAGTTTATATCAACATGGGAATATAGCAATCATTAGTTTATCTTAGGCTCAATTAAATTTTCTTAGTATATTTTACAACTATTTCAAAGAATCAAAATACCCAGGCCTAGACCTAATTATTTAGGAGGGCCTATATAAACTGAGTACAAACAATGAGGTTATATAGTAGCAAAGCCACTATCATCATAAGATTTAGATTGCTTAAAGCATAGCATACAACATAATAAATAAATATGGGATACAAAAAACATTGATACCTGAACAGCCAACAATATAAGTCAAAGATACATCAAATGCAATGACTTGAGACCAAGTAGGCTTGCGTAATGATAAAAAATTAATGCAAACAAAAATGCTTGTTGTTTTGTCAATTGAAAGATAAAATATCCATAAAAATGGTATTTAAACTTACAAAATAATACCAGTTGTAGATTAGTTACAAGTTTAATATGAAACCATAAACAGTTTTATGGCAATAGGCAATCGCCAGGGCAAATTGAATCTTCAAGATGAAAGTACTATTATTTCCATGATAAAATAGGTTTGGGATCTAATTATAATCACCCTAGTAATAAATAAAGGAAAGTGATACAACTTTTATGAGCTAAGCTACTGGGTCAACAGTTCTTGGAGGTACTTGACTTGACACTTGATTGGCGTGATAATATATTTATGGGTTTGAAACTGTTAATGGGGTTTTTATTGCATAATTACTCTAGTAATAAAATATAAAAATGTAAACAAACATCTGATAAACCTTTAATGTGCTCCTAACCAACAACACTTATCATGCCATACTTAAAATGGCCCATACAACTATTTAAGGACATAGTCTGACATTTAAGGACAATTCCCACATTTCATGGCCAGTAAAAAATTAAGTACAATTTCCCGGTTGGTAGACACCCTGAGATTGGCCCACTACATGATTGGTGGACTACACAGTGACCTCAATTAGGAGAACCATATAAACAAAGCCTCAGATGTATTTTCATACTCAAATTTAGTCATAGTTTTCCTAATTGAAATGTCAAAACTGCTGCTCTGAGAAGCCCAACCTTCAATTTCAGATCTTTTACACCGCCAGTCTCCCACACCCCCGGTCACTTCACCAACACCTAGTTTCTTGGCCACTTTCTTAACAGACTCTCCATTGTCAAGACGTTTAATTGCATTCAATTCAATTTAATTTAAAGATACTTTATTCACAGATATACAAAAGTATACATGAATGGCGTTCAGAACAGTTCATCATAAATTATATAGCCTAATATCTAGATAGTAAACTGATACATTATATGTATATAAGTATTTATTTAATGACCTTAAAAATTCTTCAAAACTGTATAGCGCTTTGGTAGCAAGAAATATTTGTAATTTCCTTTCAAAGCATTTAAAACTCTTTTCAGATTTTATAATTTTAGGAAGGTAGTTATAATATTTTATCCCAGAAACAGTTGGATTTTTTTAAACTGCTTTTTAGAAATATTTATTTGAAAATTTCCCTGATTTCTTGTATCTGCCTTTTATTTGCTGATGACACAACAATAATTTCTCGCAACAATGACATTCAGATGCTGCTCCAGGAGGCTGAAATCGACCTCAGTAAAGCCAGTACATGGTTCGAGCATAACAAACTAAGTCTAAACAAAGACAAGACTCAACAGCTCATCTGCTCCCTCGCGGGAGTTGAATTAGGAAATCAGCCAGTGAAACTGCTTGGATTCTATCTAGACAGCAAGCTCTCTTGGAATGATCATGTCAGCGTGGTGTGCAAGAAACTGTCAAGAGTAATCTCCCTGATCAGAAAACTGAAAAATTTGGTCACTTTGCAGTATCTTGTCGTCATCTATCACTCCTTGTTCCATACACACATCTCCTATGGACTGCTTTTGTGGGGGCACTCTGCAGCATGTGAGAGAGTCCTCCTGCTCCAGAAGATGGTTTTGAGGATTATGACAGGGGCTGAGTATAGGCAACACTGCAAACCTTTATTTCAAGAGCTTGGCATCCTGACAGTCTATGGGAACTACGTTTTGAGCTCCCTCCTCTACGTAAAAGAGAATTTAGCTGATTTTCAAATAAGAGGGCAGCTTCACGGTCACAATCTGAGAAACAACAACCTGATCTCTATTCCCAGATGCCGCACTTCTAAAGTGAAGGACAGTTTCCCACTACTGGCTTGTAAAATGTTTAATAGACTGCCTGAGAACATTAAGAACCTGGAGCCGAAACTGTTCAAAAAGAAGTTCAAGTCGTGGTGTTGCCAACAGAGCTTTTATTCCTTGGAGGATTACTTCAAAGCCCAGTTAGTTTTTTAATATTTTTTATGCCGCCTGACACTCAAGTTAATTAATAATAATTATATGTTGAAGTATATTTTTTATTTTTGTAAGTTTTATGATATTTGTATCATTACTGACGCGACCTATCCAGAAATGGTCAACGGTCAAGAGGATGGTAATTATGGTAATTATGGTATTCAATTAAGTTTTAACTGAAACAACAGTGCGTTTCCGTGTACCACTCATGATGTGCTTAGAAATAGCACAACACACCTCACAACGTACCAGTACCTTTAGTGTCACTCACTACAATATTGAAAACTAAGTAAAACCAACAGCAAAATGGCGGGCGGGCAGCAAATTACGAACACACTTGACTTCAGCCGAACAAACACGACGTTTGCTGCTCGCTTCTGACGACTGCCGGTTGCTCCCGACTTCTTCTGACCGCTGCCGACTTTTACCTATATCTGTCCACCTCTGATTTGATGAAATTTTAAAATTTTTATTTTCAAGATGTGCCGCGGTTAACATGGAGGCTCGGATAAATGGGACTCTGATAACCGGGACTCTACTGTAATACTAAATTGCCAGTGCATATTAAATGTACGGTATTGATTCAACAGTCATTTAAAAAAAGAGATGTCTAATTAGTAATTTTCTTATAGATAAAGCTTATTATAGTGTACAATATTTCTTAAATGATCATTTTTGACCAAATTGAAATTCTTTTGTATTTTAGAAGCAAAAGTGAATTGAATATATTTTAGTTTTGTGATATTCTCCATTGTAAAATTAAAGCAGTTTTGTAGAAAAACACAACTCCTTTGTCTCTAAATGAAAAAAAAAACAAACAAAAACTGAATGAGATTTGTGAAATAAAAGTAGTTTACCATAAGGCACTCAATTGTAACCACGCATAAAATACGGTTCAAAATAGCTTTAGATTTTATAAAAGCATGCAAAAAGTAGACTCCAAGTAGTTTTAGTACCTATCCTAAGTAAATAATATAAGAAAAGAAAATATAAGAAGTAGCTACTTCTGGACAGAAAAATTGTGCTATAATTGAAATTAAGTTTGAAAATTGAATACAAACGCAAATAATAATGTACATTTATCTCTTGGTAAAAAAATACATCTATTTTAAATCCTAATCCAGACATATGTTTTTTTATCATGTTTATCATATAAAATTTGTAAACATTAAGCTACCGGTATCAAAATGATTACAAAACATTTCATTATAATTTTACACTATAATCACAATCCATTGAATAGAGATCTGTTAACTTACAAACGGTCCAGTAGTATTGGTAAGTGTTTAAAATGCAATATTTACCCCCCTCCACCACTGCCGCCATATTGAAAAAAAAAAAACGGCACTTGAGATTTTCGCCTACATCTCCGTTTTGGTGCGTTTTAGCCAAAAAGGAGTTATAGGTAGTCAATGTTGTAGACAATTAAATTTTCTATATTATACGTTTAATATTTTGTTCCTACAACTTATGGCAAAAAAATATTAAGTTAAGAAAAACGGGAAAAAAAAATTTTCTAAAATTTGACAAAAATTCTAACTTTAGATAGCGGTAATTCAGTGATGGCTTATTCTAGGAAAACAAGTATCACAATCCAATTTGTAGAGAATTTAATTACCTACAAAATGCTTCTATTTTTTAGCCAACTGTTTGAAGTGGGGCTTAAAAAAAACCCAAACAAATTTAAACATGGGTTCATTTTCTTTCACTTTTCACTCTACATTTAATTTAAAAAAACCACAAATTATTTTTCAGTTTTGGCTTGAGTTTTTAGTTGATAAAAAACATACTTACGTTACTTACATGTAACTGCGCAATGCTCATGGATGCAGGTACTATATTCCCCTTAGGGTAAAAACACATATACAGCGATTCAGAGCAAAGCGGGGGGGGGATCCAGAGCGAGCTGTAGCGGCGCGACTGACGTCGCACACATGCAGCCACTAGCGAGAGCGACACGAACGGGAGCTTGATCATTTCAAAGATACCACATTGTAAGTTCGCATGCAATTTGCAGCACAGAGAAAAAACGTGGGTGAAAACATTAATTTTGCATGCTTCAAACCGATCGGAGAGGTTGCATGGAGTGAATGGAGGAAGGGAGGTACATGGTGAATATAACAATTTGTTTCCAGTTCTTAGGAAGCATTATTCGTGATTAATGCAATACATATCTACCTCTACCTTTGAATATATTCTTTCAAAAAGCGAAGGTTCCAAAACGCTCTGTAAGTTTCGTTTCCAGATGGGCGTACAGAGCGACCTAATGGCAAAAGTGGAACTAAAATTGGCCACAAGATCGTTCACGCTCCGCTCCTAAACACTATAAAAACAAACAAGATTGTTCCAAAGTTAACCGCTCTGCTCCACTACGCTCGCAACAGCGGTTTGTGCGCACGTTACTACTTGATTGTATAGGTTTGATTTTGTCGCTCTAAATTGAGCCGCTCCGACCCGCTCCCAGTCACTGTATGTGTGTTTCCACCCTTACAAATATCCACTAGTGGGAGGAGATACTCAATTTCAAACTACCCATCAACACAGCAAGAACTCTTTTAAAGATTCATTTGTAAAAAAAATAAGATCAAATATAGTAATAATCTTTAAAAACGCAATGATGGGTCTTTTGTAAAAAGTTGACAGAATTGATTCATTCCAAACCCAAAAATGTTTAAAGAGGTGTCACAGCCCAACTCACTATTGAAAAATGCAGAGAAAAAGCTGGGGCGAATTACCCAGATACAAAAAAAAAAATACCACAAAAAAAGAAAGCCATATTTGTGCAAATTTGTACCTCAAAAGGTGAGCAAACCCCATCCTTGTATAATGAGTGGCTAAACCAAACTAGCTGATAGAAGTTTGTTCGTCTCCAGGGACGAGTCAGTATGGCAAGCTCAAACATGGCCGCATGTAATGTTTTAAGAGATGAAGATTATCATGTTTAGAACAAACACTGTTGTGAGGCGTAGATTACCTTGGTGACAGGACTCTGGTGTACAGTGAAGGTCTGGAACAGTTGAGGTCCGTGGCCTACAGTCTCTGGGTGTTGCACTATCACTCTCACAGTACCTGAACTGGTCCCATAAGCTATCTCTATCCAGTTACCACATAAACCTGCAACATGTCCTTGTAATTAGACTTGCAAACTTGAACTTGAACCTAGTAACAAATATTTACAAGAACTTTAACTTTAACTTAGGAACATCACTGCATTGTCAAGATTGGACATTTTTGGCATATACTTGAGCACTTACCTCAAATTGAAATACTCAAAACATACAGTATACAGTCCATGCAACGAAGAATATTAAATGTTACATCAAACCTCTGAAGATGAAAGTTATTTAACAAAAGAAAAGTCGGTGCACCTGCTAACAAGTGCAAAAAAGTTAATAGAACTATTTTACTTCATGGAGGATTGATGGAGTCTGGATCAAAAATTGTATTCTAAAAGTACGGTATATTTTTTATCTATCTGGGCCTAAATCTGATTACTACAATTATTACAATTGATCGCGTGTTGTAGTATACCGGCTAGTTACGTTTTCCCATCCTTTCCCCTTTGTGTTATATTTGTGGACGTCCAAACTGTAAGTAATTTTGTGTATTTATTTGTTAAATTGAGATTTTCAGTGAGTCGCACTTTGGTAAATTTTCCTGTCTTGTTTTGTCAATTCATGTAGAATAAGCACATGTTCATAGGTTCGATCACAATTTGTTGATTTTTAAATCCATTCATATTGTTGCAATCCGCTTTATTTATTAGACTGTGATATTTCTATAGTATTAAGAATAAATATATGAAAATGTTCTTATAGGGTAATTCAGAGTTGCTTTGTAATATTTTTATATAGTATTTGAATTTTGCACAGAGTCATTATTAAAAGTACAATTCGTTACAGAGTGTCACAATCAGCATTTTAATTTGGGGGAATCATTTAATATCAAAGGAGGGATTAGGTTGCTGGTTCGGCTGAATCGGGAAGTGTTATCGGAGGCTGTGCCAGTTTGCATATAGACGAACCGCCAAAGTGCCAAATTAGCTATAAAACAATAAGCAACGTTCCAGTAAATATTATTACGATTAAACGCAATACTGTTTAATCAGTTGACCTTCGAGAATCGACCTTCATATTTACATCGTTGGCCAACGAACAGGACTTGTTTGGCACTGGTCGTCTCAAATTAAATTAAATACCACTCCTCCGTTGACACCTTCGAGATCGGTGTGAAACCGCGCCAAATATTCCCCTTTGAATAAATCCGTTCAACATTCTCAGACAGATCAATTCCGTCTGATTGTGTCACTCAAGGTCATATTTTTATATTGCACCACACAATCAGAAACTGTCAAACTGGAATCATTGTAAATCTTAAATAATGCTTAATAAATCAAATTGTACTCACTTTTAGTTCTCAATAACCTGGTAGTTCTTTATTATATGCTATAGTATCAAATTGGTAAACAAAAGGTAATTCAGTAAATAATAGGCCACTACAAAAGATTCACCTTTTAAGTGCAACACTAAACACTAGTGTAGTAGTGAGCAAGTAAATTCGGTGTAGAATTAAGACTGGTAAATTGCTCTCATTAAAGGTATTACTTTTTTGGAAGAACTACAAACAGTGCCAAGGGCGTCCCCTAAGGACCTTTTGGGAATATTTATATTTTGCAGGGCCCACTCATATTTTTTCAATAACATCAAGCTTCCACTGCCAAAAAGCTCTGTCTGATATTTTTATTTTCTGAAGTTCTTCCAACCCAGGGGCAACCAACATTTGCGGTTCGTATTAATGGTCCAAAGGTATCGATGTGTAGTCGTTCAAAGCATCTTTCGGGAGGTTTAGAATTCATCAGGCCAATATTTAGCGCTTGAGCTGGTTTAGACAGCTGACAAAGGCTACAAGATCTGACAAATTGCTTAACCTCGTCGAAAATTTTCTCCCATGTGAATTCGCGTGTGATTCGCCCGATAGTCTTTTTTATTCCTAGGTGAGCTGATATTGAAATGTCGTGAAAATATTTCATTAACATTTTCTTCATTTGAGTCGGAACGACGATTTTAGACGGATTTCTGGGGTTTTTTTGATAACGTAGTATACCCTTTTTTATAAAATAATTCGGTACGTCGATTCCATCTTCGATGTTATTTATAATATTGAGGAGCTGTGGGTCTTCGCGTTGTTTCGAACTCAGTGACTCAAAGGTTTCAGGGAAGTGTTGTAGAAAGAAAACTTGTTCGGGGACAACATCATTTTGTGGTGTGAGAGTTTTAGTCGGCTGTTGTTTGTTGACTTTGACTCGGTCGGGGCCAACGTTGCTTTGTGGCGCTGGGGTTTTAGTCTGTTGTGGTTCATTGACTTCAAACATCCGGCTTAGAGCGTCGCTTACTATGTTTTGTGTGCCCCTACAATGCTCGATTTTCTCGCATGGAAATTGTGAAAATCGTAGTTTCCAACGCGCTAACATACCAGTAGTCTTGTCGGAGCCCATAACATGTGTTACAGCCATACAATCGGTTTTAAGGATGAATGGGTTATCAGTGAGATAATCCTTGAACTTTTCCAGGCCGTACAATACAGCGGCAAATTCCTTCAAATACATGCTGTATTTTAATTGAGCACCTGAGAATGTTTTGCTGGCAAAAGCGATTGGAACATTATTGCCATTAATTTCCTGTTCCAGGACAATTCCTACGGCGTTTTCACTTGCGTCACACGACATTATAAATCTCCTGGACCAATCTGGAAGATGAAGTACGACGGGTGAGGACAATGTTTGCTTTATTTTGTCGAAACTAGATTGTTGATCGGGACCCCACCTGAATCTTACGCCTTTCTTTTTCAAGTAGTTCAATGGTCTACTGATTTCGGAGAAATTAGGTATGAACTTGGCATAAAAAGCAGCCATGCCGATAAATCGTTGCACACCCTTTAAATTGCGTGGTCGAGGAAAATTACTAATAACCTCAGCTTTAGTATCGTCCACATACAGTTTGCCATCCTTTACTATGTGTGACAGGAAACGCATGCCCCTCTTTGCCAAGGTGACCTTGCTGGGTTTGATTGTAAGTCCGGCGGCCCTTAGACGTTCCAAAACCATTTTCAAGTCATTGTAATGATCCTGTGGGTTTGCGCTATAAATGCAGAGATCGTCGACAAAGTTTATTACACATTTAAATTTTAAGTCTCCTAGCATTTCGTCGACTATGCGTCCTAACACCTGGCTACCGATTTTTATTCCTTGGGGACAAGTACGAGGCTGATATAAGGCATATCCTACATTGAAAGCGGCGTATTTCCTACTATCAGGGTGTAATAGGCATTGGTAATAGCTATTGTTCAAATCAAGTGTAGTGAAATAACGAGCATCTTTAAAATAAGGAAAAACTTTATCTACTTCTGGTTGTGGGAAACTGTCCATTTCAATAAACTTATTTAGTTCTTTATAATTGACTACCAATCTAAATTTTCCGGGTTCCTTTTTTGGTCTTAGGAAGGCGCTAGAACTAAACTCTGAAACACTTTTTTCTATTACCCCTTCATCTAATAATTGTTGCACAGTATTTCTCATTATTACCATCTTATCTGGCTGGACGTGGTAAGGTCTTTGTCGGAATGGCACAATATCCTTACTAAAACGAATTTTGTAAGGCTCAGTCTTGGCTAAGCCGATTTTGTCTGTGACAACGTCGCTAAACTGTCGAAGTAGGTTTTCGAATTTATTTCGTTCGTCGTCTGTGAGCGGTGAATCACCTAAATCGGGTTTATCACAAGTTGGGATCTCTCCTTCTCCTATCAAACAATATGATTTAACACTCTCCCTAAACTTAAACTCCGCTGTTGAATCACCTAAATTCACGGACATTCGCGCAAACTTCATAAAATCGTACCCCAATATTAACTGTAACGGAAGTTGATTGACTACCCAGAAGTTGTAGTCCCATGACAGATTATCTATCTTAAAATGAACTTTGACCTCTGTCCGCACAGTTATCTTCTGGCGGTTCGCGACTTCTACTGATTGATTAATTTTACTTGACTGTTTGATCAAATTAGCACTTCGCAACTTATTAAAAAGCGTTTTACTCATCAATGACCTACTACTGCCAGTGTCTATCAGCGATAGGCAGTCTATATTGTTGCCAAACAATACCTTAATTAGCGGCAGTTTCGCGGATACATCTGTTGCTTGCATACTTTTGTTGGGCGATAACTTTACAGTTCGACGTTGTGTGCCCTTGACAACGTCGGAATCTAGTTTAAAGAAACCCTACAGTTCCTAGCGATATGACCTTCACCTTGACAACGATAACATTTTACAATTCTTTCCCTGGGTCTGTTACGTAGATCGTTTTGCGACGTAATTGGATTGTGACGAGTTTGATTCACAACCCTAGGCGATGAATTAATCAATGGGCGTCGATTTGCATTACCAAAATATCTCTCTTCGGCACGCATTGAACTAGTGATTCTATTTGCGAATGATTTTAGCTCAAATAAGCTTTGTGGCATTTGACCGAACGAAAAATGACTTCGAACAGTTGGATTACATTTTGTCAAAGCAATCTCAATCACCTCGCCTTCTGACATTGACGATTTTAAAGCGAATGCGATAGATATGATGTGATCGACGTATTCTGAAAAAGTTTCATTCGGTTGTTGTGGTCGATCTAACTCAAACGATGCAATCTCTCGTCGCCTAATTGACGGAATAAATCTGTGTAATATCTCGTCATGTAAGACATTCCAGCGTGCGTTACTCGATACTGCTTCTAAAAACAATTGGAACATTTGACCTTTGACCTTAGGGATAATAAGTTTAATGATCTCTGTATGACAATTCGGAGAAATATCAAATATTGGTTTGATGTTTTTGAGAAATGAAATTAATTCAAGTTCATCTGTGCCGTCGACTGTATTCAATTTATTAATCAGTTCAATTACCACAATTTGATCGGTTTTAGTAAGTGATTGACTAACATTGTATGCGTGAGCGTGTACGTGTGTGTCATGGTGAGTGTATGTGAGAGGTCGAGTGTGTGGGTGTGGGTGGTGTACAGTGGCACTGACCGGGGCAACAGTGGACAGTGAACCAGTCGCTACAGGAAATGACGCGCGTTGTT